AATCAAGAAAGGACTTGTATCGCTGAAGTTTCTCAAAAAAGAATTTCTACGGGAAATTAACGAACAAGCAGATACACCACAGAAGAAATATAAAATAATTCTACTTCGGAATAACTCAACAAGTTACAAGTATCACTATTGTATAATAAAGAGTAAACTTTTTGAGAGAAATTAATACAAAGATACAGAAAAATACTGAAACAAAACGCTTGAAGAGAGCACAAACTAAACGTTATAACATGAGCACTGCCAAACCAGAAATTATAGTTCTGTAGAATTAAATAGAAGGAGTCACATGCATCAAGAGAGTATGTCGCACTCTTATTGGTGGAGGGTTGTTGCATGAGAGACACACTGGAATCGATCAATTCCAATTGAGTGAATGATTAAAGGCTTGTGACATGCATAAAAAAATGTTGCATATAGAGGACAGCACTGAACGAAAATTGCTATTTATGTCAGACTAGGTAATGTACCATATCAGAACATTAGTGTTATGAATAAATAAGAAGCATTATTAAAGTTTTAACAGCAAAACCAATCATATGGTAAGTTTTCTTTTGGTATAAAAATACAGAAAGCATTAAAAACAAGTTTCAGTTTACATGCAATTTTGAAAAGTCTAGAAAATTATTGCTTACCTGACTTAGAGTCAAAGAATGAACTATTTGTCATTTCTCCTGTTATGAATTCATCCACAGCCTGTGACCTCTGAGTGACCAGACCCATCATAAGTTCAGTCATCCCATTAAACTTATACATGTCTTCTGGATTAAAGAAAGTTTGACTCATGGGTTTGAAGCCCACCTTTTGAGTCTCCTTACTGTACAGATCAAATTGTGAAGGCATCATAGAGTAAAGAAATCCTAAAACAGCTGAAGCTACAACATTAGATACTCCAGGATTTGAATTGATGTCATAGCGGCTATAATAACCAGTGGTCTGAGGCTTGAGGTCATAGAGATTCATGACTTCTTCACCAAGTAGTTCCAAAAGGAGCTCATTATATGTCACATGCTGAAACTAATAAAATAGAAAATTTTCAAGTCTGAACACATAATGAAGGTTTACATTTGAAAAGTTATTCCATGTATTACTCTGAAATAAACATAACACAACCTGTTACAATTATCAAACTCATCACTACTTGTCACTGAAAGTCAGCATTTATAAGATAATTAGAATTTACTTAATTGCATGATTGATAACCTTAAGTACTTTGCTCCTTGCCTGAGCTTAGTAAAGAGCCTTTTGAAGGTTTGAAGAAAACTTATGCATAATGTGATACCTGCCAACTATATTATTAATTCATGACTATGAATAGTCATACCAGGCAATACTGAAAAAAACCCAAAACAAAGTGTGATGTTATTTCTCCAGGACAAACTCTGAAGCTCTAAACAGGTCTTTATATAGGTGTATGACTGTTCCAACTTGCAGTAATGACTGACCTTATCAAAAAGATAGTTTTAGATCTTTTTTTTTGTAAAGTAAAATATTTGAGAAAGTACAATGTTTCCCCCCTCCCCAACTGTAACCATCAAAGTGAGAAAAAAAAAACCTGTAAGTTCTTCCATTTCCCTGAGAATCTAAAACAATTGAAAATTTGAAGAAAGCAATACAAGTTTGTATGTTATTGTTTTACATGAAAAATAAACAAGGTTAGTACAAAGAGTGAGGTACTGTAAATATTTTCTTTCCTTAATCATACATTTAATGCATTAATATAATAAGCAGAGGCATTTCTAGGTGTTTGAAAGATTCATGACTCAAGCGTATAGGCAAGTGAATTTTCGGCATTTCAGTATGGTATCGATCATGATTTTCTATTCTGATTTTTCAAGACATCAACTGGGAATTTATGGCACTGTCAAATAGATACGGGGCATGGGCCCAAGGTGGCAGTGCCTAGAAGTGCCTCTAATAATGACAGTGCCTAGTAACACCTCTAATAATAAGAACAATGTTTATGCACTACAGGCTAAACTGTGTAATGTCCAAAAATAATAGTACTGTTAATATTTATTACTTTACTGCTCATTAAGACTGCTTGACACTCTTGCCTTTTCCTATCCTAAGTCAAAGAAAAATAAAAATATTATTAATATCTGCTTGTATTATGAAATATAAGTTTTTTTTTGCAATTATATCACAAACTTGGAGATTATAATAATTCGAAACCAGGATTTATCTACAAAATTCAACTAGGCTTTTTTTCTAACTTTTTATGAAAATGAATGCCTTGCTGTGCTGGGTGTAGCCAGGTTGAACAGGAATCTGAATATAAACCCTGTATAAATTATAAATTGTACAACGTTTCCAATCAAAAATAGCTAAGCTATGCCATGATTTATTAAAGGTTTTGCAAAAAAAATATATATAGTAATAAAAAACTGAAATAAGGAGATCCCTTTCACATCAAAGAACAAAGTTTGTCTTCCAAGCTCTTTTGCAACATTTAGCAATTAAATAATAATATTTGGTTATACAAAAGTACAAGTTACAGTTCTCTGGAGCAGTATGGAGGAGCTGAGAGAAAACTTTTCACACTACAAGCTTTGCAATATACTAAAGGATCTTGTTGGTGTTGCATCTAATGGTGTGATAACATTCTGCAGTGAACTATTTCCTGGCTCTACATCTGATAACAATATTTTAAATGCATCTGGAACATTAAGTAAACTTTTACCAAGAGATCTTATATTATCTAACAAGGGATTCATCATGAGTGAAGGGCGTTTCTGATGAGGGGCTTGATTTAAACATTCCAGTTGCTGACTATAGATCTCTGCATTGACAGTCTGCTGTGGATTGAGGAGTTTGATGGAACTGGATGGAAGTTATGTATATTCATGATTAATAAAAGGTTATCTTAGAACATGAGAAGTTGCTTCTCTTATATGTAATTGTAAAAAATGCAAAAATGCCCATAAAAACTGCAAAACATAAAAATGTGAAACCACAGGTTTGCATGTATCTCTGCATGGACTCAACAAACCTTCATGCCAAATTTATTGAAGATCTATCAACAGGGAGTGAAGTAGTGGTAAAAAATGTAAAAATTTCCATCAGAGTACAAGGAAGATAAATAGAATTCCTGGTAGATACACGAACAGCCAGAACACTGGTGGTTCTTGTGGTGTATTACAAACTTAGGTAAGTTGATACAAACTTCTTCTGTTGATTAGAATTAAACAAATTGTGGAGTTCATCTGTCAGTTTTTACTGTGCAGCAGATCAACTGATGTTCCTTGAGAGAGTTATTTGATGCTGGCCAGACCAGACTCAGGAACAGTACCCACATGTACACAAGTGTTCTGTAGTTTACTATGAATAAAGTCTAGTGTATTTGTGTCATGTACATGAAATAAGATGTTTTCTGTCCAATAGGGAAGCAACATTAGCCAAGGAAGTTAACTGTCTAGGGAGGGATGAAATCCCAGTCTTGATCTGCAGTTATGGACAATTGGTTATCCAGCTTCACATAGGAATGGTCATTGCCACCATAGACAAAGTGGAAATAACAAATGGTAGCAGTATTCATAGTGTTGCATCCATCATGCTGCATCTGAAAGCAAATATACAGTAACCAACACATCTAATAACACTAGTTGAGGATTATGCAAACAATCTAGACTCAATGCAGTGGCAGCAACTCAGTGATTTGTTGGCTGAATATGCAGATATATTTGTGGGATCAGATAGCCACATTTATATTAATATAGTATTATTCAAAATTTATCAGTTATTCTAGGAATGTGCAGTTTTCACATAACACTTGGTCAAGAAAGTCATTAAGTTGATTTAATTCTAGTTGCCTTTGTTCCTTTGTCACTCTACTGAAGTCACACTCTTCTTGCCATAGACATGTCTGTAATGGTACACATTTTGCAAAAATGTAAATAGCAGTGCCTTATAATAGTAGTTAATGTGGTTTCTGGAAGTTACAGCCTCCCCTACATTTGAGTGATAGCAAATAGTCATATGGTAGCACTAGTCACTCTGGGTAAATCCAAAGTTACCTATGATATAAAAAATGACGAAATGAAACATCTGGTAGATGATTTCATGCTAGTAAGTTCCAGGGAGAGAATAGTTCCCATTTAGTAGAAGCAACAGTCCATCATCTAAGCAAGAACATATACTGTGCTTGTGTGTGTTTTATTATCACAAATATTGTGCTTTTTGTATTATACTTTGTGTCCAGTTCACTTTTTCTGAAGAAGTAGGGTATCCAAAGAAACTCAGTATTATTTTGTAATGGCTATCTTGTTGGATCTTCTGTTATTCAGCAAGCCTGCACACTATCTAACAATAACATAGAATGTCCTTATGCTATCAAAAGAAAAGCTAATAAAATGCCAACAATATGCAAACTTTTCATCACGTTGAATTAAGTTAGGCTCATCATCGAATAAAACTGCAAATTCTTAAAAGTAACTAATGTCCATATAATGACGCCGCCGTGTTATTGGTTTGTTTACAACCAGGTTTGTAGTCGTTCAGTTCGTTGCTAAGGGTATGATGCATCGACTTTCCGCTATCTTATTGCAATATATTATTTGCTTGTTTGTTTTGAATTTCGCGCAAAGCTACACAAGGGCTATCTACGCTAGCCGTCCCTAATTTAGCAGCGTAAGACAGCTAGTCTTAGGGAAGGCAGCTAGTCATCACCACCACTGCCGACTCTTGGGCTACTCTTTTACCAACGAATAGTGGGATTGACCGTGACATTGTAATGCCCCCACAGCTGAAAGGGCGAGCATGTTTGGTGTGACTGGGATTCGAACCCGCGACCCTCAGATTGCGAGCCGAGCGCCCTAACCACCTGGCCATGCCAGGCCTATTGCAATAGAATAAAATTATATTACTAAACCTGTTGTGGTATCGTTATTATACTTACTCATATAATTAACTTTGCTTAATACTTTTTTTAAATGTTAGTATTGCCTTGATACATTTCAGAGGTCTTGTGATAAGTTTCTTAAGGCTAATTACCTCTGCTACAACAATCCTTCGTGCCTCTTCGAAAAGTTCATCATTTTGCCAGTGAGGGTTGAGCTCAGATAAAACACGTGCAATTCTGTTGTGTTCCCTCATCCATATCGTATGTATTACCATCAATCCCGCGTTCTCATTTACTCGCACGTCACCTATTGGTAAGAAAAAGAAACTTCAACGACAAACAGAAAACAAAAGTTAATTGGACAAGAGCACTAAACTGCTGTTTGTTTGTTTGAAATTAAGCACAAAGATACACATCTGTGTTCTGCCCACCACGGGTATCGAAGCCCGGTTTCTAGCGTTGTAAGTCCGTAGACATATCACTGTACCACTTTGGGGGGAACACTAAACTGGAAGCAGAGCGTATATTTGAAATGAAGCTTCAAACTAATTCATTGTTTTACTATATCTATTATTAGATTAAAAATAGTATGTATAACAATGTTTTCTTCTTAAACAGTAGGCCTGGTATGGTCTAGTGGTTAGGGGCTCAACTCACAATATACAGTTCGTGATATCGAATTCCGTCGTTAGTAAAAGAGTAGCCAAAGAATTGGCGGTGGGTGGTGTTGACTAGCTGCCTTCCCTTTAGTCTATCACTTATTAATTGAGGACGGTTAGCGCAGTTAACCCTCGAATAGCTTTGTGCTAAATTCTAAAAAACAAACAACCTTAAACAACATTATTAAATCAATTCTTATCATATACCAGTGACTTCTTAAACATAAATTTATTAAAAAAAAAACTTTTGCTAATCATAGTTATGTACACTATTATAAGTTGAAGGTTTATATTTTTACAATTTTATTACATAGTCATTGTTCGAAATGATTTGTTTAGATTCTAGTGTCAAAACAAAGTATTTTCAGCTTTTGAACAGAGCTGGCGTTGTAAGATAGACAAGGCCCTTGGCCGCACAATAAAAATAATTTTATCAATGAATTCAGTTGCCAAGGTTGCTGTACTTTATAGGTTCTTCTCACTCGTTTCGCCTAGAAGGGCATATATGTCTTGGCTACTCAACTGGAAACTGGGGCATAGCTTTCAGCTTCCTTCTCTATCCAGTAAAAGCAAGAAGAATAAGAATATTCCAAAATATATTGTTACATATCTGCTTCTTTGTTAATTTCCCGTAGAATTTTTTTCCGAGAAACTTCAGCGATACAAGTCCTTTCTTAATTAAAACTAGTTTATTCTTTCTCGATACAACTTTGCAATACAGAATTTCCCCGGTCACTTTAACTTAACTACTTTTATAAACACACGCTATAACTCACAGCGATTAATACACTTTACTTACGGTG